CCCCAAAACCCCAAAACCCCAAAACCCCTTTCTGTATAATTACAGTTGAAGGCAACCCGTTAAAGATAACTTAACGTTAATAAAATAAAATATGGAAAGCAAATATAATTACGTTGACCAGATTGTAAGACTCTTTAAGGGATTTTTGTGGTGGAGTGACAAGTTGGGTATTGGGCAATGTGTGCTGGGATTTTAGGGGTGGTGTTTAAATTTGGCTATAGGAGCATTGAGAATTGGCTATTGATGAAGGTATGAGAATTTATGCAATTTTTATGAAGGGTGATTGGAAGAGGGATTTTTGAAAAATTAGTGAAGAGATTTTGAAAATACTAGTCTTATAATTTATATAGAGACAGAAGACATGAGTCAATACAAAATTACTGATTTCTTCATGCTTTCTAAGGAGAAAAGATCCTCTGAAAAGTATCTTTAGCTCAATTTATTATATAGAATGAAAAAGAGAAAATTAACTAGAAATGCCGATACAAAGCCTGGAGAAGAAAGTAAGGAGGCTTCAGTGCTCCAAGCTAGGAAATTAACCAATGATATTGATGTATGAGACCCTATCTACATCACTGCGCCTGTCCAGGGGGCTCAAAATAGGTATTTTACTTCATGAGTCTAACTCTTTAGCCTGATTTTTAGTGATGATATTCTTGAAATAATCTATTCGTATCTCCGGATCTCAGATGTTCACTTACTTTCCTTAGTGAATACCCATTATTCTTCCTGAGCCAAGAGATATTTCAGCTCAAACATTATGTAAGGGATTATTCTGACTTTCGTAGACTAAAATTAATAAAGAGCAACTCTTCTGACTTCACCTACCTGATTGAGAACCCTCAAATCGTGAGGAAGCACCAGTCAATAATGCACATCAAGGATATCATCAGAAGAGATTTTGGAAATAAGATAGACGCTTTTCTCAAGAGAGTATGAGTCTCTGCTGAGATAGGCGACTCTCTCAACACTCTTTGCAGCAAAACCTTCAAAATCAGGAAGAGAAAGGGATACCTGTTCAAGTCATTTAAGATAAAGCCATTAAAAGAGAACAATAATTTCTTCAGTGTATTCTCCTTTGAAAAGCTGATCCAGAGGTATTCTTAGGAATTATGATAAAATAGCTCCTTCCTTAGTCTCACAGAGTTATGCATCAGAGAATGCATTCGTTTTCCAATTGCAAGCGAAAGTGATTTAATAATTTCTAACGGAACACCACATTCTCAAAAGTAAGTATGATTAGGGCTAACCTTCATAGGCAAGGAGAGTTGATGCTTTTCAGCAAATTATGCAATCTGAAGGTGCTGGACATCTCTGACAACAAGTAACCACCAGTTCGTCAATGTATAGATCCGTTAATGACCAAACAATTGCGCATATATGTTGTTCATGCCCACAATTAGAGAGTATAAACATCTCTTCATGTAACTCTGTGACTGAAAAATCGATCATAATGATCTCAAAAAGGCTTCACCAACTCGAGCAGATTGATTTCTCATATTGTTACAACATCAGGCCTGGAAGTGTGACCTACCTGTTTGCGAACAGAAAGACGAACAAAATCGGTAAATTTCGTTAAGAAAATCGTTTTAGATACAATAATTGCCAACCAGATTGCGTTTAATTCAATTGATTTCAGAGATATCAATCCTAATTTAAAGTACAATAAGTCTTTAATGCCTCTAGGGTCCTCTCAGTAAACGGCTGTGAATTTTTGGATGATAGTTTTCTCTCATTAATCAGCAAATCTCAACTCAGAGAGCTAGATATTAGAAAAGGTACCATATTTGTGCTCAAATGTAGGTATAAATGGGATGAGCCAGTCCTCGTACTCATACTCTTGTCAAGGTAAGTTTCTGTCCGAAAATTCGTCGGTTTTCTTCATACGATATGTAATAGAGTTAACCCTTTAGGTATTCTCAAACTACTTGAAAGATTACAGAAAACTCTTAAAGTATTCTACATGGACTATGTCTACAACATTGGTAAGCTAGGATCTTAACAAAATATAGCATTTAAAAATAATGCAGAATTTTTGAAATACATGAGCTTCCTCAGAGTTGCACCTGAGGAGGAAGATTTTGAATAAATTAAATAATTCATTCCCTTATCAGCACCTCGGGGTTTTGGGGTTTTGGGGTTTTGGGGTTTTGGGG